GGGAACGTCACTAAGAGCCCTTTGCCCCCAGTACGAGATGAGACGATGAGGGAAATGGTTCTCCAGAGCAGTGGCTGGGGGCTCGCCAAGGAGACGGGACACTCAGGGTCCTTTACCTCCTCCCGCACACAGTCAGGGGCCACTAGGACAAGGTGAGACTGAAACAGAAAGCTCTGCACATTAGGGGTGAGGGCCTTCAAGCAGGATTTTCTCTAAAAATTGTTTAACATTACTGAATTTATCTTCAAAGCACCAGTCTTAGTAAAATGGTATTGCTCCAAACTTAGAGATGCGAAAATGAGACACAGACACTAAAGAAAACCAACAAACTGACCAACCCCCCAAAATAACCTCTTTGATTTCTGTAAGCAACTTCAGAAGCTATTGGGACGAATTTGGGAAAGTTCATCACCCCATACCACTATTTGCTCAGAACAAGGGTTTTATGGAATTCATTGCATTTAGAAACATTTTGTTCAATCCAAAGTTTGGCTTAATTCACTTACCACTTGAAATTCTGTGTCAAAGAAGCGAAAGAGTTCTTGAGGATGGTATTTAAGTGATTAAATCAAAGCAGATCTCTACATGTCCTAGCCTCATTTACACGTCCATTTCTCTAACAATGGGGAAATGACCCAAAGACTGTACCTTCATTAACTCTAAAAGTGATGAATCCTGATCAGCTATCCTGTGCTGGATGAGAAGAAAAATAATGTTGAATACCTACATTAAAGACTATACCATACTACAGATGTATACAGGAGAGAATTAAAGGTAACTCAAGGATATCCCTTCATTTTAGAATTTTATCAGTTTTAATATGGAACTTTGAGATGTTTACATTTTCTAACACAGTCTTTGTCTATGGAACTTTCCTTTTTTGGCCAATGTAGTTATCCATATGTATTATCTTGATATGGGCATGAACTGATGACTGAGGCAGGCATCTGATCCTTTTGCGTAGCAAGAACGCACAGACTTTTCAAAACGCAGCAAGAATCAAGCAAGAGGAATCAGATTCTTTCTAATTAGCAACATGCTCTTCTCCATACAGCTCGCTTAGCTTTTTCTCAAGGGTACACTATCAATAATGTTTTCTGCTTGCCCTTTTTCCCTACTTTTCTCAACTTTCTTTTATGATGCAACTGTTCACAAAATGATACGCCTTTCTTTTTGGAATGTGTATGTATTGCCTTTGATCTGAGCAAAGAATCTACTGTTTTTCTCAAGTATTTTTATGTTTAACCCTAATGAAAGAAAAATCCCTAACAGTAGTTTAAAGATGAACTGAAAGCAGTTTAAAAGCATAAAATATAAAAATACATATATATACACTTAGCAGTAACAACATGACAACAAAAGCATAACTTCTACTTATGCACTAGTCATTTAGGAGGCTCTCTAATACTGAGATGTTTAATGTAAACAACATGAAAAAAATTATCTGCTCATATGTGCACTAGATGGTAATTTCTCTATTCTGCTACTGTCAGGGGTACATAATTCCAATAAATAAGCAGTATTTTTAGGCCTACTGGATGGCAAAATAGTGAAAACTGTACGTATTGTCTGCACTTCATGGGATAACTTTGTTTTTTTCTAGCAATATCTAAGAGTTAGTGTTTCTTTTTCTTTCCACTGTTGTTTTTTTAATGCAGTGTCTAATATCAAATTGCATGTTTTTATAATCTATTCATTGATTGTTTTTAGTTTTACATAATCTAAAAAGAATTCTTGAGGGCAAGTGCCCACTTAGTACAATAGTGCTTCCTTTTATGACAGTAATATTGATGTAAATACTCATGTATGTAAAGCTAGAAATAGGCTTCCTGTAACATTCACACAATTTGGCTTCACTATTTGCAGAAAGCAAACACAAGAGGCACAGACATCCAAATCAGATCTATTATCTCCACTAAAATTAACTTCTATAGAAACATTTTCAATTGTTTACCCTTTTTAAGCTGTAACAAGTTATAGAATAGAACAGAATAGAACGGAATGGAATAGTTCAGTTCGAAGGGACTTACAACGATCCTCTAGTCCAACTGCCTGACCACTTCAGAGCTGACCAAAAGTTAAAGCATGTTATTAAGGGCATTGTCCACATGCCTCTTAAACACTAACAAGGAACCCTCTTCCAGTGTTTGACCACCCTCTTGGTAAAGAAATGCTTCCTAATGTCCAGCCTAAACCTCACATCCTGTCACTGGATACCAGGGAGAAGAGATCAGCACCTCCCTCTCCACTTCCCCTCCTCGGGAAGCTGTAGAGAGCAATGAGGTCGCCCCTCAGCCTCCTTTTCTCCAAACTAGACAAACCCAAAGTCCTTAGCCGCTCCTCATAGGACATGTCTTCCAGCCCTTTCACCGGCTTTGTTGCCCTCCTCTGGATGCATTCAAGGACATTAACATCCTTCTTAAATTGTGGGGCCCAGAACTGCACACAGTACTCAAGATGAGGCTGCACCAACACTAAATACAGCGGGATAATCACCCCTTTTTGACCGGCTGGTTATACTGTGTTTGATGCACCCTAGGATGCAGTTTGCCCTCTTGGCTGCCAGGGCACACTGCTGACTCATATTGAGCCTGCTGTCGACCAGCACCCCCAGATCCCTTTCTGCAGGGCTGCTCTCCAGCCACTCCTCTCCCAATTTGTACTTGTGCCGGGCATTACTCCATCCCAGGTGTAGAATCTGGCATGTATTCTTGTTAAATTTCATGCCATTGATGATTACCCAATGCTCCAATCTATCTAGATCCCTCTGCAAGGCCTCTTGTCCCTCAACAGAGTCAACAGCACCTCCCAGTTTAGTATCATCAGCAAATTTGCTAATGGTGCATTCAACTCCTGCATCCAGATCATTGATAGAAATATTGAATAGAACTGGCCCTAGAATTAAGCCCTGAGGAACACCACTGGTGATCGGTTGCCAGCCAGATGTAGCCCCATTCATTACAACCCTTTGAGCCCTGCCCTTCAGCCAGTTCTTCACCCAGGCTCCTACCGGTTGACAGACTGCTCTATCAGCATCCTATACATTCCTGTAGGCTTTCTCTCATGTCTTTCTCTAAGAAAATCTTAATTACAGTGTCTAAATGATTATATCAAATAGGCAAGGACATGGACGATCTTTTGACAAACTAGTATGTGCCTATTTCCTGTAAATTTATTGTTTCTACATGAGATGTTTTTAAGATGGGTAGATCTGTCATTAGCACAAAACCATCCAAAATGGTTTGCATTTTTAATATTTCCACTACACTGTTTCTTTTCTTGTTACAAATGTAATGATATATTAATTATTATTGTGGCATAATGAAAACATTCCTTTTTTTCACAAGCTGTAAAATAATCTCCTTATCTTTTGCAGTGATTGAACATGTAATGGTATTCTGTGCAGATCCTGTAAAACTGAACTGCAGGAAATTAAGATTTACTTACCTACACTTCTCCTGCATGTTTAAGTAAAAACAGTACAATTTCTCTCAGGACCAAAACCAACGAGGTATCACATAGTCAACATGCCAAAAATTGTTAGTCCCATGGCAGAAACATTTGTTATGCATAGCAGGACAGTTATTCCAGATAGAAATGAACATATACAGTTCAGTGTCCATGACCTGTATTCCCAAATGAATATTCATCAGAAAAAAACAGAGAGAGTCCATAACATTCACATACCAAATAGAGCCTCCCTTGCTAAAGTTTAATTTAACTCTGTTCCACCTAGCTACAAAGAAAGCTACTTAATATATGTTTAGAAAGAGCTACTCTGGGCTTATTCCTCGCAATTGATACTTCTTCCCATTACCTCTTTTCAGGTTTCTCTATTTCAGCTGTTCTTAGGATATGTAGGAAGCACATTGCCTCCCAGCCCTGCTACCCACGTCTACGCCTCTGTCTCTCATTGTGTCTCCCACTTTCCTCCTTCCCTGAGCACGGATGCTTTTTTCTCAGCTTAGTTGTCCTGTGAAAAATATGGTTCCAGCTGGTCCATGCCTCCCTTTGAAACCAGCTAAGAGCCTGGGTCATTCTGGTCACCACCTCCCCATGAAGACCTTACAATGCTGGATGCAGGTCCCAGTATGATGTTCGCTTCCCTGTTGGCAGAAGACTTATGGCAGAAAGAGTGAGGTGGCTTTCAGACAGCTCTAATGTTTGCCTCTTGCAAAATCCATATTCACAAGCAGTACTGCAAATGCTGGACTGGCCCACACCAAGTATTATTTGTACTTTCAGGCACCAATACTGGCAAATTATCTAATGCACTTTTTTGTTTATTTATTTGGTTTGCTTGGGGAAAAGCTGCAGGGGGGAACTAGTCAGACTATTTAGTGGGAGCAGCTGCAAAGGCAGCCAAAGCAAGGCCTTCAGATAGAACTTTTTAAAGCTTTTTGCTGTGTTTTCTCCAGTCTGTACCACTGGCTTGTTAGCTCAACTCTGATTTATTTCCTCCTCAGCTATCTTTGCACCTCACATTCACATCTGTAATTGCATTCTTTCTCTGCCCTGCCCCCCTTTCCTCAATATCCTCACTGTCTTTAACCTATCCTTTCCTCACTGCTGCCTCTTAACTCCCTCAGAAACAAAATACAATAAAAGACTGTGAAATCAACCTTTTGCAGACACAGATTCTACGCTGTGTAACTTGGACTACTTTCTGCATTGTGCTCATTCAGTTCCTAGTACAAAGAATACCTCTTTTTGTCAGTCTTTAGGTATTGGCAGCAAAAACATGCACGGAAAATAAAGTAAAATGAACTGTGGTAATGCCAGACTATGATTTATAAAAGATTTATAAAATACTGAAGAATTATTTTGTATTGGGAAGACACGTCATCTCAGATGCAACTGAGAAAACAAGTGAATTTTTACTATCAACTGTTTCATACATACAATGTTTTTCCACAGACACATGGAATTTTAAGCACATTGCCAATTGTATTGAAACAGATTGGTTGCTGTTGTTAAGAAAGATTTCTTTCTTGCTTTACCTGAGCTGGTCGAAGCAGGAGACTTGCTGCGTCGGGATGGGCCCGGGCTCTTGGTGGTGCTCCTACGTGAAGTCGAAGCTATTTTGGTATAGGAAGTGGATTTCACCACCCGACATTCTAAAAGACAAAGAAACTGCATAAGTTAGCAATTAAGAAAGTCAGCAAGATTCTGTAACAGAAAGAGCACTGAAAAGCACAAACATTTAGCCCACGCTTGTTTTCACTCATCTTGAGGAGTTTTATGGGAAAATATAAAATCTGTATAAATGGCTCCATTAAAATCCAAGTACAGTATGTACCATATTCCAGACAAAGAACTGCTACAGTAATCCAGACTTTTAGATACCATGGTTACTGCAGGTACTTAGGACAGCTTAATTTAACAGTGCTGAGACTACACATAAAATTTATTTGCTTTTGAAGATTTCAGCACAAGTAATGCAGTGGTTTTTGTAAATGATCCAAATGCAATGTAAGCATTTTTGTCAACCTAGGCAGTCTCCTCTAGAAGAACCAGAAGGCTGCTTTTATATATCAAAATGTTAAGACTGTGCAAGATGACGCAGGTGTCTGTCACTCATGAAAGGTTTGAAGAAAGTGAAGCAGGTTTGTTGCTCCTGCTTAATCCTCTGGTGAGCAACAGCCCACATTGTATAGCACACGCAATTCATCACAGGTTGAGGGAAATGGCACTACTTGCTCATAAGAGACATCAGTAAAATCAATGAAGAGGCGAAATTACCCTCCCACTTGAGAACACTGCAAGATGTTCAGGTTAGAGTTTATATAAACCCACACAGCTCTGTAGGCATTCTTGCATTACGCCTGCAAAATGGTTCTTGGCCTGAGGATGAAAGAACTTAGTGTGCATAACACTGATGTCTTGCACTCATAATGGATACTAAATTAATCACCAGACATATTATACGGTCGGGGAAAAAAAGGGATTTCCACTTCTTAGCCAATATACAATTAGAAGTCTGCAGCAATGTTTATACTGTCTTCACCTGACGATGTCAGTATACTTCACTTGTTTAAAAATGCATCAATAAACATTTAGTTCTGTGTCAGACCTGTTCCCCATTTTCTTCCCATGGTTAAGGTTCCTCAACACAGGTTAAGAGAAATAAACACGAATTTTTTTCTCCCTAGTCAGAAAATACCATGTACAAGCCTGCACATTATTTAGTCTTCACAGACGATCAGTGGAGCCTGTAACATAGTTTAGACAGATTAGAGAACAAAGAAATAAAACTGAGCATAACTAATTAGCTTAAACATATCCACCAGAGAATGATGTCATTAAGTGTATTTCTCTTGGCTGCCCCAACTGTTTGTCTTTCGTCAAGCTGTTGAAGGAAGCAAGAACTGATGCGTTACTGAGGGAACATCCAGCACAGCTGAGAGCAGAGGGGACCAGAGAAATACCCTGGTTTTCCCAAAGAAGCTTTTCTTCCCAGACGCTCCCACCTTCCTAATGCCCAATAGCAGCTAATTTCTTTCTGTTGACATTTTATGTGATTCATTGATGACTATTCTCATTTTATACCAAATAATGAGTGGAAATGGAGAAAAACATTTACTCTGTTGTAAGAGGAAATTATCAACTGAAACCAGGAGCAATGAAAGCTTTCAATTAGATTCCGCTAGGTAACTACCACAGGAACCTTCCATGGATGTACTGTCATAAACTGCTGCTCCAGAAACCGTCTATACATGTCAAATGCAAACAGGTTCTTTACCTTTCTTGTAAACATAGATTTAAAATGCCCAAACACCTAACAGACAACTTGTTTGATAATGTAAAACTAAGCCGTAATCCCAGTGTGGGCCCCATTCACAGGAATCAGTCAGGAAGGGAACTGAATATTCTAACGGTCAATAAATAAAAAGACTAAAGTAGAATGACCCAGCCAAGCTAAAACGATTAGACTATAGTCATTTGCTTAGCAGAAAAACTTAAAAGCCCATGAAGAAAACAGCCAGCTACTTTCTGTAATATACTTCATTATGTAAAAAGCTCTCCTCTGTTTCCAGCATGTAAAGAAAATAATTGTCTGCATCCCTCTCTTGCAATTCATGCTATGCACTAAACCTTAACTCTCATCTTATTATAGGTATTAATACTCATTGGAGTTCTCTGAATACCTTATAAGCATTCAGAGTTAGAATGAGGTTAGAGATACGACTTTGCATTTGAATGTGTATTTCCCCTCACAGCAATAGAAAGGACCAGGCAGAAAATGGTATGAAAGGAAAGAAGAGGCAACTAAATGTATGTCCAGGTTATCTTTCTATCCTACTGATACAATGCTGTTTAGGACAATACTCAGGATAGTCCTTATATCATTTTCACCCAACACGTTCAGAAATTGGAAGAAAATAATTATTAAAAAGTTATTCTTCTTCATCTGGGATTTGTCTCACATGGGCAAGGAAGGTGTGGCTGGCTTTAACTGCAAAAGCTCACTGCATCTTGTCACCATCTTCCTTCTCTCCCACTAAGAAATACTCCTGCTCACATGCTACAGAGGGGTACTACCTTTTCTGGGAAAGAGGGAGGCTGACAGCTGGCTGCACCCATCAGGGCATTTGGCCACCCCTCACTACTGATAGTCTCGTTAGAAAGGGTGTGGTTAGGAGGTTAGGTCTGCAAGTCATCCTGATGGGCTACTTATAGACCATGACCTGTTATTTGAGTATCCCTATGCTAGTGGCATATTATCCTACGAGGAAGCCACCTCTCGCAGCTAGCTGAACATTAAATCTCTCTACCACTGGAGCAGAAACACAGATGATCATATGTTCAAAAGATAATTTGAGAAATTAACAATTATCACAGGATCAGAGGATAATCCAGGTTGAACATGAGAAGATCTTTAGTTCAATTTCCTGCTCAAAGCTAGAAGTAGCTTCACATTCACAGTCCTGGTCCACTTGGGGGACACTTCAACCAACCTGAGGAACAACACAGCAGGGCATAAACAGAACAGCAGGATCCCGGAGAGCATCTGTGACAACTTCCTGATCCAAGTGATAGAGAAACCAGTGAGGAGAGATGCTCTGCTCACACTCACAAAAAAAGAAGGTCTCATTGGGGATATGAAGGCCAAAGGCAGCCTTGGCTGGACTTCAAAAGAGCAGACTTTGGACTCTTCAGGGATCTGCTTGGAAGAGTCTCATCAGATAAGGCCCTGGAGGCAAGAGGGTCCCAAGAAAGCTGATTAACATTCAAGGATCACCTCCTCCAAGCCCCACAACAGTCCATCTCAACAAGCTGGAAGGAATATAGAGCAAGTTGGAGCATGCAGAGACACAGTTAGGAAAGCTAAAGCCCAGCTGGAATTGAATCTGGTGAGAAATGTCAAGGGTAACAATAAGTGCTTCTTTATGTACATATGGAACAAAAGGAAGACTAGAGAAAATGCGCACTCACTGCTGAATGAGGAAGTGGCCCTGGTGACACAGAACATGGAAAAGGCTGAAGTACTGAATGCCTTCTTTGCCTCGGTCTTTAGCAAGACTAGCCTTCAGGAATCCCGGGTCCCAGAAGCAGAGGAAAAGTCTGGAGAAAGGAAGATCTACCCTTGGCGGAAGAGGATCAGATTAGAGAATACTTAAGCAAAGTAGACATACATAGGTCCTGATGGGATGCACCCCCCCAAGTGCTGAGGGAGTTGGCTGATGTCATTGCAAAGCCACTCTTAATAATCTTTGACTGGTCATGGTGATTGGGATAGGTGCGTGAAGACCCAACAAATCTCACTCCTATCTTCAAGAAGGGCAGAACTACAGACAGGTCAGCCTCACATCAATCCCTGGGAAGGTGACAGAACAACGAATCCTGAAAATTATTTCAAGGCACATTAAGGACAAAAAAATAATCAGAAGTAGCCAGCATGATTTCACCTAAGGGAAGTCATGCTTGACCAACTTGATAACCTTCTGCAGTGAAATGACTGGCCTGGTAGACAAGGAGAGAGCAGTGAATACTGCCTACCTGGACTTCAGTGAGGCTTTCAACGCTGTCTCCCATAAGATCCTCATAGACAAGTTGTCAATGTATGGGCTTGATAAGCAGACAGCAAGGTGGATTGAAAACTGGCTGAATGGCTGGGCCCAGAGGATGGTGATCAGTGGCATGAAGTCTAGTTGGAGGCTAGTAACTAGCATTGTACCCCACGGGTCAACACTGGGTCCAGTCCTGCTCAACATCTTCATTAATGATCCGGATGATGGGGTAGACTGTACCCTCAGCAAGTTTGCTGATGACATAAACCTGGGAGGAGTGGCTGATACACTAGAGGGTTGTGCTGTCATCCAGAGGGACATCAACACACTGGAGAAATGGGCTGACAGGAACCTCATGAAGTTCAACAAGGAGAAGTTCAAAGTCCTGCACCTGGGGATAAACAACCCGAGGCCACAATATATGCTGGGGGTCACCCAGCTGGAAAGCAGCTTTGCAGAAAAGGACCTGGGGGTCCTGGTGAACAAGATGACCATGGGCCAGCAACACACTCTTGCTGCAAAGAAAGCAAATGGTATCCTGGACTGCTTTAGGAGGACTGTTGCCAGCAGGTCGAGAGGGGTGATCCTTCCCTCTGCTCAGCACTGGTGAGGCTACACCTGGAGTGCTGCATTGATTTCTGGGCTCCCCAGTGCAAGAGAGACATGGACATACTGGAGAGAGTTCAATGAAGGGCCACAAGGACGATTAAGGGACTGGAGCATCTCTCATATGAGGAAAAGCTGAGGGAGCTAGGACTGTTAAGCCTAAAAAGAGAAGACTCAGGGGGAATCTTATCAATGTATATGAATACCTTAAGAGAAGGTGCAAAGAAGATAGAGCCAGGCTCTTTTCAGCAGTGTCCAGTGACAGGACAAGAAGCAACGGGCATAAACTGAAACACAGGAGATTCTGTCTGAACTTTTTTACTGTGATGGTGACTGAGCACTAGGAGAGGTTGTCCAGAGAGGCCGTGAAATCTGCACCCTTGGAGACATTCAAAAGATGTCTGAACATGGTCCTGGGTAACCTGCTCTAAGTGGCCCTGCTTGAGCAGGGGAGTTGGACCAGATGACCTCCTGAGGTCCCTTCCAACCTCAACCATTCT